TTGCTTTAAATGTGTTTGTTTTTCTACCATAAATAACGTAGGGCCTTAAAATCACATTTGGCTTTAGGGCTGCACGATATTGGAAAAAATTGACATTGCGATAATTTTTTTCCCTGCGATATATATTGCGATATTTTTTTATATAAATATATACTTAAGATATACTTTTGCACACATTACATACAGTATCACTGTTTTATCTGCTGCACCACTGACTGTAGGCTGGTGGAGGACCAAGAATGACTCAGCAGCAGCCTCACTCTTACCTATTTGGGTGTCTAAAAGTTAACAAGTGACGGGCATAGATGTATATATCTATGAGTGACGGGAAGCTATGCTGAGGTTAACTAGCTTAGCATATATCTTGCTGTCTGCAAATGACAGTAATTTAAACGTACCATAAAACTCCTATAAGTGCATAAAATTCGACACAACTACACAAGCATCGTTTTAACCTTTATAACCGAACGTTAACGTTACTCTGTCGACAGTCTATTGTCTTAATTACCGCGCTAACAGAGCTAACTTATGTAAACAGAGAGCAACAGATTGCAGACGTCAATAATGCAGCGTAATGGAATATTATACTGATCAAACTCCGCTTTAAGTACGCTACAAGTTTGTAAACTGCCTCTGGAACTCAGTTCAGATACAAAAATTTATTTAACAAAACTAGTAATGCAGTAAAGTACTTTTTCGCTCTGCCCACCCCGCTCCCCGACTCCTGAATGTTTGTCTCACTCACTCACGAGGGCATGCACAGCGGTCTCATAAGGAAACGCAGCTTTTTGATATAAAGTTTTTCTTGTTCCCGAATACAAATAGTTTTTCAAGTATTTGTTCGAAATAAGTATTGGTAAAAACACGCTATTCGTGCTTATCCGAATACCGTATTCAGGTTTGGCTTCACCCATAATATATATATATATATATATATACATACATATATATATATATATAATTTATTTATTTATTTTTTTGCTTTGCATCGCACCTCCTGCGATGTGACTATCGCGGATGCGCACATTGCGATTTCAATGCTGAAACAATGTATCGTGCAGCCCTATTTGGCTTTATATGCAAAGATTTGCTCACCCTTCTCAAAATCAGAGTTATCTAAAGGGCCATGAACCCCACTTAGGTGGGAGTTTCCGGGAAGAGAAAGAGGGATGGGTTTGCATAAAAATGGGAGTTTTGTTACGAGCATGCGCTGATTTTCAGAAGCAAAACAAAGACGCAGAGGAGAAAGACAGTGACCGGTTACATGGACATCAGTAATCAAATTATTCATTTATTGAATGAATGTTTGCTGCCACACGGGGAATGGGAGAAAAAAAAAACCTCCGCAAGTTTCTGTAACTTAGATGCACTCTGTAGGTAGCGTCAGAAAGCTAAATGCTAAATCCTACACAACGGAAATAGTTTGATTATGGTGTTTACATGTTTACATTGGGAGAGCAGCATTTGCAGCGGATCGTTCCGTCCATAATATTGTAGTGATATAAATGTACTGTTAACTTGGTAACTTAATCATTTTGACTAAGGTATGTCTTCAAACATTGAAAAAGTACTGCTGATGACACGAACTAACTTTGTCATCTAAATAAACAAATAAACAAACAAAGAACACGGATCGCTTACTTATGTGGCAATAAGATCGTAACTGTACTGTGGATTTACACAGTGGCCATATGCATCTATGTAAACGCACAAAAACAACATTAACATTATTGCAGACACTGTGAAAAGGTCATTCCCAGCCAACAGACTTTTCTGCCATGGAATTCGAGTGTCATCATGTTATGTGACTGCTGTACAGGAGTTATTATTATGGATTATAGATAGCGAAATTTAGCGGTTTTTATTTGGTTTTTATTTTTTTTTACAGCATGACAGTAAAACATGAATGCGGTTCTGAATGTATAAAAACATGTGCTTGTTTGTCGTAAAAATTCATAACAGTGACAAAACAATACTAATTTCTGTATCACCTGACTTCTGTGTGCAGCCATGCTGCTGCTGTAGATGGTGTATTCTGGGAAATTTTCTTACCCCTTGGTTTCGAGTGTGGTCTTGAAAAATCTCAGTTTCAAGGGCTGTCTAGCCCTTCCCCTTAGCCCTACACCTTTAAGCTAAAAAGAATTTGGATACCCCTACCCCTTCGTGTGAACGCGCAAAACAAGGGGTAGGGGTAAGTGGAAAGCCTCCTTTCCACTGCACACGACAAACGACAGACCGGATGGATGGTTCCAATCATCTCCGTATGTGAAAAATTTAGATCCGAATTGAGCTGTGGATCCGTTAAAATATTTGAACTCCTGCAACTAGACCGTATGCGACCTGCCGACCGGATGTGATGTATTCCAGTGTTGTCCGAGCAGATCCGTGCACGCGAGATGAGAAATAGGAGTTTATTTGGTTATTTTTTGAATTATACAAAGTCTATATTAAAATAAAAAACTTTTCTGTTCATAAATGTAAGTAAGAAAGTAATAAAAATATATATATTTTTTTGTTGTCTCCACATTCCCTCTAATATTTTAGCGGTCTATGAGTTTCTAGTATTCATTCATCCTAAACGCACAGAGAATAAAGGCTCTTGCTTTTGCACTCCTTTAATTCGGACACCGTGAGAATCATCATCTCCCCCAGGGTGCACGACAACACTGAAAATACTGTGCGGCTGCCACAAGGGGCGTATTCCGACAGTCGTGTCCAAATGTCGTGTGCAGTGGAAAGGTGGCTAAAGAGCTAAGGGGTAGAAATGGGATTGCGCCTAAGTGTGTGTCCTAGTGTTAATGAAAGTTGAATAAGTTTGTGAAAACAATCATTACACGATTACTCTGTTACTAAATGGTTGTCTGGCTTTTTGCATTGTAACTAGAAAGTACTTTCAACATGCTATAAAACCTACAGTGGTTTAGGATGACTAATTTGGGGACAGGACACTAAAAACTTGAAAATGGTTAAAGTCAAAATCAGGCCCGGATTGGCTAATCAGGAGGACCGGGAGAATTCCCGGTGGGCCGGTCCGTTCTTTGGCCACGAGGGCCGGTGTCCCTAGCTGCTCGCACTCTCAGCAGTTGCACTTTTTTCATTTATTTGTTTATTTGACCATAGCCTCACACTTTTTATTCATTATTTTGCCACAGCTCCGCTCTTTTTATTTATTTTCTCGCAGCCCCGTGAGCAAAATGCAGCCCGCAGGTTAATGATGACGCAATCATCATTAACCTGCGGTCATTCCCACGCAAACAGCGGTACCTTAGTGCATATTAATTAATATTAATAAATATTACACTTGCTCAATGAAAATCAGATGATTCACTACGTTAATAAATCTGACATAACTTGATCAGAAATCTAAAAAGGGGAGAAAAGAGTAGACATCAATAGCAGCAGATAACAGTGCAATACTTATTCTTTATCCCGTACACCTTTGCTTAATAGTGCTATTGTGGTATAGTGGTTAGCATGTTGTGTTAACACACTGTCGATCCATGTTCGAACCTCACCAGAATAAAATGTATTTTTTCATTTTTAGTGTTAAGACATAATACTGTTTGGGTTACTTATGTAGGGGTATATATATATATATATATATATGTGTGTGTGTGTGTGTGTGTGTGTGTGTGTGTGACGACTGTTACAAAGGACTGGATTTAAAGCATTAATGTTCTTATATTTATGAAAAAACATTTGAATTTCTAAAGCAGCTGTGTCCTTGAAGACGTTTGTTTCTAAGGACGTGTTAGTGTCATTAGAAACTGAATTGGAAATGACTCTATTTTAATATAGTCAGTCGTCGACTGAGGTGGGCCGGTCTAAGGCTTGAAACTCCAGAGCTAAAAAGAAGTCCCACTCCAGCCTTGGTCAAAATTATTCGCCTACTGTGATTTTTTTTTCCTTTTTAAATCTTTCCCATATGTTTAACAGAGCAAGGGAATTTTCATAGTATGTCTGATGATATTTTTTCTTCTGGAGAATGTCTTATTTGTTTTATTTCGGCTAGAATAAAAGCAGTTTTAAATTTTTTATAAACCATTTTAACAGGGGCGGACTGGGACAAAAATTCAGCCCTGGCACTGTAGCCACATCAGCCCACATAACCACACCGACACAGCCCCACCCACGGACACGCACATTCACTATTTATTTTGGTGTACAGATAGTGAAATAACAAGACATTCTTGCCAGATTTTGATTACGTCCGGGTAACCTCGGATTGGGTCGGCCCATCTTGAAATTAGGCGGGCGTCGCCGATTGGGCCAAATGCTTAACATTTATTATTATTATTATTATTTTTTTTATTATTTATGTTTTTTATTTATCATCATCATAATATCATATCTAGCAAGAGATAAAAGCTGCCTGCACGTAAAAACAATAAAAAAAAAAAAAAAAACTGACCGGCCCACATTAAAAAATTGGTCTGGCCCTTCTGGCATTTGCCAGAATTGCAAGATGGCCAGTCCGCCCCTGCATTTTAAGCTCAAAATTATTAGCCCCCTCGTGCAATATCTTTTTCCGATTGTCTACAGAGCAAACCATCATTATACAATGACTTGCCTAATTACCCTAATGAGCCTAGTGAAGCCTTTAAATGTCACTTTAAGCTGAATATTAGCATCTTGAAAAATATCTAATCAAATGTACTGTCATCATGGCAAAGATAAAAGAAATCAGTTTTTATAAATGAGTTATTAAAACTATTATGTTTAGAAATGTGGTGAAAAATCTACTTTACGTTAAACAGAAATTGGGGGAAAATGTACAGGAGGGCTAATAGATCTGTCTTCAACTGTAACTACATTGTCTGACGTGGAGAAAAGACTGTCAAAGAGTGGGTAGTGGCAGCCACAACAAGATACCTTTGTGTTTGATCTTGTATTAAATACCTAATTTATTGGAAACCAGTGTGATATGCACATTTGCGATAGTTTAAAAAATCCCACAGCCCTAATGCAAATCAAATGATCTGTTCCTGGTTCCTCTCTAGGTCTTGAATCTGTTTCTGGCCCTGTTGCTGAGCTCTTTCAGCTCTGATAATCTATCAGCGCCGGATGAAGACGGAGAAATGAACAACCTTCAGATAGCCATCGCTCGAATCCACTGTGGTTTCTCTTGGCTTCTGAATGGCATCAAGGACCTCTTCAGCGGGAACCTGACGCGGCACAGACGCAAATCCAAAGAGGCACAAGTGACCCTGAATCACACGGAGTGCAACGGCGGACTGGGAAGTTTGGAGAAGTATGTTTTTCCAGAAACCGAGGACAGTTACATGACCAATCCCAATCTTACCATCTGTGTGCCCATCGCACCCGGAGAGTCAGACGTGGAATTTCTTGAGGAGGAGGAAGAGGAGGAGGACACAGAGTCATCAGAGGATGAAGAGGAGAAACAGGTGAGAGGCTAATTATTACTATTAGTGCTGGATGTTTGCTTTATTTGCTTCATGAGGTCTGATTCTGTTTTCGTGTCAGCGTTATTCAGTTTTGTCTGAGAAAGTTTCAGATGTTTTTATGTTAAAGTAGGGGAGGCACAGTGGCTCAGTGGTTAGCGCTGTCGCCTCACAGCAAGAAGGTCGCTGATTCAAGTCCCGGCTGGACCAGTTGGCATTTCTATGTGGAGTTTGCATGTTGCTCCTGTGTTGGTTTCCTCCGGGTGCTCCCGTTTCCCCCACAGTCCAAACACATAGGTGAACATATTTATCAGGAATCTGGTTATTGTAAAGTTGATGAATTAGAAATAGTGTGATTAATAGTGGTATTAAATCTGTTAAATAATGAAAGTGTCTTATATAAAATATTAGTCTATATAAATAGACTATATAAAATGTATAAGAACTATTTTATGTTAAACCTTTTAATTTAATCAGGTAATTACATATTCAAATATAATATAATAGTCAGATAGAACCCTTAAAGGACGTTCAAAATGAAAAGCAACAAGAACAATAAATATTCTCAAACAACTCTTTTCTATTGCAAATATTAATGTAGACTATACTTTGATTTGTTTTTTTTATTATAATTCTTTTTCCTTTTTTAACAATGAGGATTTTAGTATTATTTTGATTGTTAAATATTCAGCATATACAAAAAAAAAAACAACTAATAAAAGTTTCTGTTCATCACGTTGGTCAAGCTAACCCCCATGAACTGTCTATATATATATATATATATATATATATATATATATATATATATATATATATATATATATATATATATATATATATATTTTTTTTTTTTTTTTTTTTTTTTTTAAAGGCTAAATACATATAAAAAGTTAACAATAATTTCTTTGTACTTTTTTTATTTAAAGAAATGTTAAAAGTGCCTGGAGGTATTATTAACTTTGTATATTCAGTTTGCAGATTTTTGTAGGCACAGACATCTATTGTGTGCATTCATGGCAGTTTTTTCATGTCTTTTTAATATTGTCCATATCGATATCGAAATTATATTGTATCGACCGAAATGAAGAAATATATAGTGATATAAATTTTTGCCATATTGTCCAGCCCTAGTGTGTGTGTGTGAGTGAGAATGTGAGAGTGTATGGGTGTTTCCCAGTACTGCGTTGTGGCTGGAAGGGCATCCGCTGCATAAAACACATTCTAAAGTAATTGACGGTTCCTTCCGCTGTGGCAATCCCTGATATATTAGGGACTAAGCCGAAGAAAAATAAATTTTTGAAATGCACACTTTTGGGTTTGTCCACATGGAGTTGATTTTATCATGATTGATTTATCCATGATTGTGGTTTTTCTGTAAGAGATGTTCGAAAAGTTTTAATAGTTTTTATATATTTGTTTTAAAAAAATCCAATTTCATTTGAAGACAATATGAAAAAAAATTTCTAAATTATTTTAAAATTCAAAATTAATAGAAAACTTTGATTAAAATAACTAAAAATTCTTGCTAAGTATGTTTTTTAGCATAAAGTTATAAGCAGAATTTTGCCTTTACATGTACGGTACAAAAAGATACAATACTGCATCAGTCAAAATACCAATAAATTCATCTTAACCTCATAAATAATGAATTTGAAAGTTTCTGGCCCACTTAGTGTTATTTTATCATGATTGTAGCTTCCAAAATGTGTAATATTTATAGAGTTGGAATTTTTGGAATTTATGTAAAGGTTATTGCACTCTGAGTTCGAAGTTATCCATAATTTTTGCACGTTACAAAATAAATTCGACTTTACGTTCATCAAACTATGTTCGAATTTTTCCTCATTTTGAATCCAAAATCGCACTTAGAGAGGTGTTTTAACAGGTACAGAATTCTGTAACTATTAGAATTACCATACGGCTCATTCTGACAGTTCTTATATAAAACGCCATATAGCACAACATATTTACATTCAAAGCTATTATTGAGATATTACAATTAAGCTTTGAATGTCTGGCATCATATTTAATGACACCATTACCCTAAAAATATAATCTTTTTTTGCTAATACAGCCTATAAATATGTAGTTAAGATACTAAAACATTTAAAGGTCTTGGCTTTCATTTTCACTTTCAAACAGGAGCTATTTAACAGCACAGAATATGCTGTTTTGAAAGATATCTGAAGTAAATTAATGTTTTTGCCATCAGAAAGTTTTGTTTATGTTAGCAGGAAGTTGCTAGGCAAGAAAATGCACACATGTTTAAAGTCACAGTGAAAAGTATCAGCAGAAATGCTCAGTTCTTTACTGTTTTGTAATAAAAAAAATAACAATGTCAGAAAGAAATACACTGATAGTTAGAAAACGGCAGGGTGTTATAAATATGTTAGTTTTATTTCAAAGAGTTATAAAATTACAAAAATTAAAAACTCTCTGTGGATCTATCCACTGGAACCTGCAGATGAGTTATTAATCCGCTCATAAATCAGCTGATTTGACGATGTTTTTAAATACTTTCTCCAAAGCTTGAAACGCTGTCAGTGATGTAATCAGCACACAAGCAGCCAATAGTGTTCAGCTTTTTCTGACGACTCCTCCCTCAAAATTTCATTGGCTGTGATTTGGTAGCTTGAATGAGCTGATGGGGGATGAGTTGTTGTCAGATCATGTAGTGTGTGACCCCCCTCTTGTGGATCGTTCACGGAGTGTTGCGTAGTGTAAACACCACAGAGATTAAAAGACACAAAGTCAGGTCATGTAGTGTGAACGGCACAGCGATCTGCTGATGTTTAAAATCCTGTAGTGTGAACTAGGCTTAAGGTGTGTGTAAGATTGTTTATTTACCTTTTTTATTGTTTGTTTTTAGGACATCAGTATCTCCAGCAGAAAAGACATTCAAATATGCCATTTTATATTGTAAAGAAATCTGTTGAATCTGTGTAAAGAAAACTAATGAAGACTCCACAAGCAACCAGCAATTTATTTTAATCATTTAGCCTGACATGTTTTTTTTTTTTTTAAAGCAGTTTTTAATTTTTTTTTTTTGGCCTTTTTGCCTTTATTAGATAGGACGGTATTGAGACAGGAAGCAAAGTGGGAGAGAGAGAGAGAGAGGGGGAGGGGGAGTAGGGAAATGTCCTTGAGCCGAGATTCGAACTCGCGATGCCCTGACGTGCTATTGCACCATATGTCGGCGCGCTAACCACTAGGCTATTGTGCAGACTAGCCTGGCAAATATATAAAATATTTTAGAAGTTTCTCAAAATATGATATCAAAATATTTTGTGTTCAAAGTGAAAAAAAAAAGTTTTAGTTTTTTCACCAAGACATTTAAAAGAAATTTTAGAGCAGTAATCACAATACCATAATATTTTTTATCCAAGGTTATCATACCGTCAGAATCTTACACCGGCCCATGCCTAGTTCAGAGCCACCGTATAAGCAAAAATCTTAATACAGAATGCCGTCACATGAGCTACAGATAACTTTATGACAAACAGAGAAAAAATTAAAAGAAAAAAAAGACAGAATGTGACACAGTTGAGAAGCCCTATATGCTGGATTCAGTGACTTTCGCACATTTCCCCTGCTGTTGTTTTTGGGGAAGTGTGTCTGTATCCATACATTTGATGTACTACCCATAGACATTATAATAGAAAGCACGTTTTGGGTCCATTGCTCCGATAAGTCAACGCAACTGTCATTTACTATATAAATGAAATAAAATGCATTTCGGGCACAAGTAACATTCTCCTTCCTCTCTACATCAGTATTGGATGAACACAATATGTAGCCTTTTTTCTACTCTGAAATGTTGTTTTTCATGATAGGTTATTTAATACGCATCAGACTCAGTGTGCAAGATTTGTGTATGTGACAAAGTTTTCGGTTATGTATACGACAAAAAAAAAACACATACGAAAATTTCAGACTTCAGTGTGCAAATAACTTAATATATGGTCATTGCCAACGGTTGCATTAGAAAAGTAAATAAGCTAACTGTTGGGTTTGTCCTCGCTTAGTGCAAAACAACTAAGTATTAATACTTAATATTATCAAGTATTTATCAATTCTCAAGTATTTTACATATTTCATATTCTATATTTTTATCATGATTGCACATGTGTTTTTTATGTAAGAAATGTTTGAGAAATTTTAGAAGGTTTTTATATTTCTGCTTACATTTTTTTAACCAATATCATAAAAAAAACAATATATGTTTTAAAATACTGAATGATTGGAAAATAATGATGAAACGATTATGAATGCTTAAGTATTTTAAGCACATAATTGGAAGAAGAACTTAAAACCAGAACAATAACATTTTCTCTAATACAATTGCTAGTAAAAGAATAAAGCAAACTAACAGTGGATAATTAAGTGCTAAATGAAAGCATAAAGAACATTTAGATTAATCCTTCATATAGGGCACATAATGGTTTGTTTTATCCATATTGTGAGCATGCGGCAGCTCAAGCGAGTGGGGTCAGAGGTCATAGAGATGAAATGATATGAGCGAGGACAGTGGTCGGAGATCTGGGGGGACATTGAGATTCATAAGCTGATAAGCTGCAAAGCAGACAAGGTGAACCCACCAGTTATATAAGAGAACGCAGAAAGGAGCAGACAAAATGTGCATATGAAATGGTGGACCATAAAAGCGCCTCACAGTTAGCACGGTCGCCTTACAGCAAGAAGGTCGCTGGTTCGAGTCCAGTTGGACCAGTTGGCATTTCTGTGTGGAGTTTGCATGTTCTCCCCGTATTCGCGTGGGTTTCCTCCGGGTGCTCAGGTTTCCCCCCAAGTCCAAACACATGCGTTATAGGTGAATTGGATGTACTAAATTGGCCGTAGTGCATACCTCCCAACATTTGTCTCTGGGGTTAGATGTCTGAATAATATAGCTGGGAACCGGGTTAGTAACTATACTGTGGTGTAAGTAAACTATACTGTGGTGTAAGTAACTGTACTATGGACCGGGTTTCAGGCAGCCACTTCGA